AACTTTCTCTCGAACAGTTGCAATTGTCCTACGTTTTCAAACATTCACTTAATCTGAGTCAAATAGGATATTAAAATGCTCTTCTCGTTGAGAGAGCGACAGCCAACAGGGGCCGGACACATATTGGGCAGTTCCTCATTTTCCGGAAAAAGAATGCCACCACCTTTGTTAACGAGCACCAGCGCCCTTACAAAACCTCCTAAATAACGCGCATTTATAGATGTCGTTGTGCTTAAGCAAACGAAGAGATAGCCAATGAAAGACGCACACCTTCAATTGTTTCGCAACATAGAAAAAAAAAGTGAGGCGTGTTTCTACTTGTGTACTCTTTTACTTAGTTATATTTGTACTTGATATTTCTTTTCTATGAAGTCAGCTCCCCAATGGTCTTTATTGTGCGTGTGGTAACGAGCCTCGTTGCTGTCTTGGGGGGCCAAACCAGCGTTTTGTCATCAGCGCGAAAGTGGACGCTTGTTCCATTCCGCGCGTCGGCTGCCCGCACAACTTTCGCAGAGGGGTCTTTTTTTTTCCTTTCCCTTCTTGTTTGCTTTCCGCTAGCGCACCTTGCCCCCGACTCTTCGCTGCCGGGCCGACAGAAGCAAATGAAGACGGATTGCGGAGTAGCAACTCGTTCGCGCGTGTTCACACCGTAGAGCGGAGAGCGGGATCAGCGCGCCCTCTGTTGGCAAGAAGAGAAAGCGACGTCCGAAGAAGAAAGAAAGCGGCCACGCAATCCCATTTTTCCCTTTAACGCACTCCACCATCCAGGCCTTGTCAACGACGCCTTCGGTTAGTGTTAGGCGGGACACAGGCGACGAGGCCGATCTTGAAAAGAGAAAGAGCGGCGCCCATATATATCAATTACTTGTCGAGTGCGCTCGTACGGCTCGTTGAAAATTAACACGACCACCGCGGCTCTGCCGGGCCGGAGAGCACGCCCGCCAGGCACCGAAATCGCCTCATGAAAAATGGACGCGGCGCGGAGCTCGTGCCTCCGGGAAAAAGAGAAAACCTCATCGCCATCAGCATAGCCTTGTCGGCAGCGCCTCCTGGACACGCTTTGCGTGGAATCGAGGGGCCTTTGCTTTTGGATCCTGCGAAAGGGTTGAAGCCCTCGTTGTTCATTCATGTGGTTTGGCGCAGCGCGGATTAGCACAGCGAGTGCCATGGCGAACAGCCGCGCCGAGGGGGACACTTTGGTTCTGGCGCTGAGTTGGACCTGGCTTTGTACGCCTGGCTTGTGTGTTCGTCGTTGGCTTTCGTCGTTTAAAATGTTTATGGGTTCGTGAATACGGAAGTACGGGAAAATGGCAAAAACAGCTTGTACCAGTGTTTTCCGGCCGGAGGTCTCCCGTAATTCGAGGTAGGCAAGCAAAAGCGCCACAGCAATCGGTGGTCACAGCCTCTTCCGACTGCAAATCGCTTCCACACTTGTTCCGGAAATACGTTCAAGCAGGGATGTAACGCCCCTCTTTATGCGTAGATTCGCGATGAAATTTTAAACTTTCATTCTGCCGAAGGTGCTGGGTCCAAGGTCTACAGACTGTATTTGCCATGTAGAGAGTTTGTTGCCCTGTGTTGTTTAAAACTTCAAAGATCATGCTTTAAAGTAATGGATCCAGTTGTCTTTACGCCTTCAAGTAAACCTGCTGGGGCAACCGGTTCTTGTGTTTCCCTGGGCGCCGGAGCTAGGTAGGCGAGAGCAGCGGTGGCGAGCCTTTGCTTTTTTGGTAATTTACACACGAGTCCTACGTAAAATCCACCGTGATGATGTACATCCGCGCAAACAAAGAAACCTCTTTGAAATCCTCTTTTTTTCTGCTAGTGTTTGCAAATGTATTGACGAAAAACGTTTGTATAATGCACGAGAAAACTTTTTACGTGCATTTAGTGCTCTTGTTTTCTATTTTGCGCTCTCGGCGCGTTTTGTATTTAATCTTGTTACCACTTTATTGTTCGTAGCTCTGTTGGAGGTATGAGTCATATTCTTTTTTTTGTGTGTGTGTGTTTTTTTGTTTTTTTTTTCCTCCCTGCCACGGCCCTACGGGCTAGCAGTATGTACAAATAAATAAATAAATAAAAGAAAACCTTAATATGACATACGCGATTAAGAAATAATTTTGGAAGCAGATTGAAAACAAAACATACGACGTTGTCATGCTTAGTGTATCACTACATTGAGGGCCACGTTTTCCGTTGGTGCCGCGTGGGGTGATGTTGCTTGGCCAAGTGGGTTTGCCGAGTTTTGTTTTACCCGATTTTTCTTCTTGTACTTTCCCGTGTCACGCACTGGATTGTGAATTTTGTCTTTTGTATTCGATTTTTCTATTTCTGACTACACACACTTTGGAAGAGCTCCTATCGGATCAAGAAACATGAAAGTCATGAAGAGTGCACCTGAAACACACGTGAATGCGCATTGTGAACATCTAAAGTATTAAAGTAGGCGTCTTGGTATAGGTTAAGCTTACGAGAAATGTGCTTCTAACATACCACAAAACACAAAATGCTTGATGTTTGTAAACTAAAACGTACACTAAGAGTATATCTTCATGACACTATCAATATGCTTATAGTATACTTGGTTTATATAAAAGTCCGATACAGTATGTTTCCTGTAGGTTCACAGAATACACAATAATCATGCTCTTCGTGTATTGCTTTTTACCAAGAGCGAAAGAGAAAGCGGGAGGAAAGATGAACAGAATAGACGCTCACTTTGCCGGCGTTTGTTTACTTCTATTTAGCTGCAAGTTCGCTCCAGGGCTGTTCTCGGCGCGGCCGCGTTCCAAGCCTTATATTTGAGCACGCTCCATCTACTGCGTCTCAGTCTCCCTACGCGTACGACTGCGGTATTTATAGAAAAATAATGAATGTAACCAACTGTACCCTTTTGTAAAATGACTTGTCACAAATTCGAGCATGGTGTGGAGAATGGCAAATGAAAATCAATGTTGACAAAACAAAATTTTTTAACTTCACTACAAAAAAAATAATACATTACTCAGATTGACTATTCCCTTTCTACCATACCAACTGAAGCCGTAACATCCTACAAATATTTTGGCATCAACTTTAACCATAACTTATCATAGGAGCCTCATATAAACTACATATCTGCGAAAGCAAACAGAAGTTTGGGATTTTTAAAGCGCCTCTCTATAAGGTCACGTAAGTGGTCTTATAGGGATGGCGTTGTAAGCTCATCGCATACAACTCTCTCATTCGTCCTTAACTCGAGTATGCATCCATTGCCTGGAACCTCCATCGGTTGTATCTGGAAGAAAAATTGGAAGCGTTTCATTCTCCACAACTATCAGCCTACAAGTGTTACCGCAATGAAAGCAAAATCAAACCTCCCTCTTTTAAAACACAGAAGAAAAGTATCACGTCTTACCCACCTGCACAAAATATATTATAATTTTCCTTTAAAAAAGGTGAATACTGCCTTCCGGCCACCCACATCTCCCCCCGCACTCACCACCCACTCAAGATTGAACTGACTATGCCTAGGACAAACCTGTTGAAAATTTCTCTCTTACAATTGGCTATTACTGATTAAAACAGCCTCTCGCAACCTATTGTGAGCATCACAAAATGCAATAACTTCAGATCTGTCATTTCCTCTCTCGTCACCACCTAGCGTCCTGTCTGCACGTGTTCCTAAACTTTCTAGACTTTTTTTGGTGCTATTTTGAGTGTTTAAATTTGTCCCCCTTATGTAAAACCCCCTGTGGGCACTTGAGGGTTGAATAAATTAAATGAAATTAAATAATGAGAAAAAGGGCAGGTCATCGAAATATTGAAAAAAACTGATTTTGTTGCGTTTCGGGGGGCCATATGCGCAGACAATCAGCGCCGTCTCGAGACCTACTATAAAGCACTCAATGTCTGCGTTCATCAACGAGAATGAATCGACTAGTGGAAAAGTAGGATTATTTCTAACATACATATGACTTTCTTCTCCTCTCGTGCTGCCCTTTTTTAATTCTGCAGAAATTGTAGTTATAAAGATACGGCGATTTTTTAGTCTCGCGAACCCAGGTTTCTGTGGAATGTTTGACGTCAAATCGTAATGAGTGCGGAAAAAAAATTAAAGTGCGTGTTTCTCGCTATTTATGCTTTTTGTATGTATATAAATAGAAAGACTAAAAGCGTTGCGTAGTTTCGTCACAATTCTTTGAAGTATTCACATGACTGTTTTTAGCCATTGTGAAGGGGCGGCAACTATAAAGTAAAATTCAATTTACACACGTTCGAATACACAAATAGGACGTAGCACAAAATACGACATCTTTCATAAACCTTACTAATAATCTCGGTTTTTAATAATAGCGAATCCTACACCATCTTTTGTGCGTCACCTAGAATAATGAACCTCAAGGTATTTGATACATCGTTCTTGTGGGCATGCGCTTTCCCGGAAACATATTTGCAACCGACCTGCCTTCTCCGAGAACTACTTGTTCTGAAGCATGGGGTGTTCGGTGACATAAATAGTATTGGCCGGGCCAATAAAACCCAGCGCCTCGGCTCTCAATCGTTTTTTTTTTTCTCCATAAGATGTAGTGCAGATTTTATAACGCTGCACAAAGCGGAGTAACTATCCGTTCAATTGTATTTGTTGCACAACTCATAGCTGGATTTGTGACGAGAACGCCATTGGTCGTTCGCATGGACACAGAATTAATTCGTCGCACAGTGCTTTTTACGGCGGATAGGAATGTGCTCACGTCTCGTTCAAAATGAGTTGTAATCTGCGGTCCGAACGATAATGCGACACTCTCTTAAGATGTTTTAATGTTTCGTTTTTAAATCCCTTTGTTTAGGAACGTGTTTTGCATTCAAAATGCAGTCACATCGGATCGGCGTTGAATAGCCGAAGTGTCATGTAACTGTGACCGGCTGGATTCGAATGGTTGCAGACCTGCGATTGGTGTGCGTATGGCAATCGCTGATGGCAATTGAGCTGACTGAGCCGTCCCTCTGTCTCGCAGGTGTGGTTCAAGAACCGGCGCGCCAAGTGGCGGAAGCGCGAGCGCAACGCCACGGCCGAGCTTAAGAACGGCTTCGGCACGCAGTTCAACGGGCTGATGCAGCCCTTCGACGACTCGCTCTACTCGGGCTACTCGTCGTACAACAACTGGGCGTCCAAGGTGCCCTCCCCGCTGGGCGCCAAGAGTTTCCCGTGGCCCGCGGTCAACGTGAATCCTCTGGTGCCCGGCCAGGGCATGGGCTGCTTCAACTCGGCGCCGTCGGGCATCGCGTCGCCCTCAATCGTGCCGTCGGTGAGCGGGGGCTCGGCCCTGGCCAGCGCGGCGGGGCCGCCCTGCCCGTACGCGGCGTCCGCCTCGCCCTACGTGTACCGAGACCAGTCCATGTCCTCGTCCATCGCGTCCCTGCGGCTCAAGGCCAAACAGCACGCCGCCTCCAGCTTCAACACATACAGCCCGCCTAGGCAAGCCAGCGCGCTGTCGCCGTGCCAGTACGCCGACCGCACCACCGTCTAGGGCTGCTGCGTTGACATGGACACGTCCGGCAGACTCGTTTGGTCCTCGAGGCAGGGGCTTCTATCGCGGGACGAAGGCCAGGTCCTCCGCAGTGGACCCTCGGCAGTGTGGCGTGCTCGCCGTCGTCTTGCCGCCGGAGCACACCTCGCTGAGTGGCGTCCTAGGGCAACACCAGCCCGCCCGCAGGAACACTTCGTCCGCGGTGTATCGCGAAAGTTTCTTTGTACAGTCCAGCCATTTTCGATGTGGGAAAAAGAGTTGCACGTCCAGCGCTCGGGTTGTAACTAATTTCTTTCCTTCCGGTTGTGCAACCCACACATTTTCTTCTTAGTTAGCGTTCTAGTCGCGAAGTTGGTGCATGACGCGCCACTTGGGTGCGTAAAGCGAAGGCAGCGAATCGTTGAATGGCTGTTCAGATTCGGGGTTAGTTTCACCTCGGCATGGCGACTTGTGCTGTGGTCTGTGCAACAGCAAAACATTCCCACCTGGGTATTACTTTCCAAGCTATTTCTGTTGCACAAATTAATACTCCGTTTTGCCTTAGTTTGAAAAACTGTAATCCAAGAGCCGTGAACACCACACGGAAGGCACACGGAAAGTGTAAATTGGCTCGAATGCTGCTGAGATTTATTTTCTACTTTAAAAGGCAGCAATCCTCGACTACTTTGATTTAACGTGCCCAGAAAAATAGATATAAAGCTACAACAAAATATAAACTACTGATACATATTCGCAAGCCGATAATGCAACATAAGCTATAGTTTTTTTATTATGCAAACGATAATTTAAATCGAATATTGCATGGGCATTTAATCGTAATACTCAATGTTCCACTAAAAGAAAACGTTCCCAACGCATGTTAAAGCTACAGCTCATTGTGCTGTATATATATATATATATATATATATATATATATATATATATATATATATATACACATAGATACGCCCGAGAGGCCAGGCTAGTTAATTTTTGTTATGAATATTAAGATTGAAAGGTACATTTTGGTGCTGCAACAGAATTAAAGTTACTCAGTGTTTTGCTCACAATCCTCCTGGTTGCTACATACTGAAAACATTACTGCTCTCTGGCGTACCGTCTGGGTTCATACTGTTTTTTTTTTCTCACGTGTTACGGAGTGCAAGTCGCCGTGCTGAGATGTTTGTATTGATTTTGTATAATATCGTTTTCACAGCCACTGTGTATACATATCCATGCGTCGCGGAAGGATTGCACACCTTGGTGATGTGCCTTGCTCAGCCCTCACCAAGCCATTATTTGAACAGTGCGTTTGTGGCCTGTCAAATATCAACCCTACTGGGCAACAGCCATTGTAGGTTTCACAAACCTTTGTTCGCTAGGAATATCGATCGAGTTGGTTATGGAAGACTTGGTTTCAAAGGCTTTGTTTCGGGATTCTTGTAGAGACATAAGCATGAGCGTGGGGATTGCAGATGCAGTTCTCTTGTGCTAGGGCTCCTGCAGAAAATTCATTATGCAAAGTTTCACTGTCCCGCCTGCACCGCAGATAGCACTGCATGAACATTTTTTTTTGTTCTAGATTTGTACTACATAGTGTACCTCGGTTTTAACTCCAATGGTGTGAGCGCGTGGCTTTTGCTGGTTTTATGTGGCGCACGTGGCTTCAAGAGCATCACACACTGTGCAGAAAACAAAGTCTTAAGTTTTAAAATTGTCGATGCTTCAGTGTAGTTCCCGCGGTATAGCTCGCCATTGGCACCTAAGCAAGTGCTGAATTCTGACCGCTCTTATTTTTTCCTCTGGTTCGCAATAGTTTAATGTGATTCCCGTTCGCTGGTTTTAACACACTTCGAGTGCCAAAATAGTAATATGAGTCAGCAGTATAGGTAACATGGCTTTCACTGACGACACGTCAGCTGCCACTTTGGTGACCCTTCTCGTACGCGCTTACCTTGTGCAGCGTATATTTCGCGGCACGGTTATAATATTTTTTGGCAAAAACATACACGAGACAATACAAGAATAGAGCGCAAAGCTCTAGGACAGGAAGGAACAATAGGACAATACAACGGGACTAGACCAGGAAGGAACAATATCGCTCTGTCTTCTCCCATTGTTCCTTCCTGCCCTCGTCTTTTCCGCTATAATTTCGTAATGAATACCCAACTAGCCCAACAGTTAATTATAATGTTCGTTTTAATTCTGTTATCTGAATATGCAAGATTGATCGCCAGCACGAGGAATTACGTCAGGTGCAAGTCACGCATATGTGGAAAGAGCTCTGTAGGTATTAGGAAGAAGTGGAGAGGGCGCCCGCATAAATTTGGTTGGCGCTCTCTCCCAAGGCTTCGATTTCATATCCCGCCAAAAGGTGCCTCCCGGTTACAGCTACTCATTCCGGTAAAAGCAGTACGTTCAACGCTAAGCTGGCAGTGCAAATGCGAATTTCGTGCGGGAACCCGCCAACTTCCCCAGGTTGGCTCGGACGTTGGCTTTGGATGCATCCACAACGTATCAAAACGAAAGAAAGATGAGAAACATTGGGAAACGATAATTATAATACTATTTATTTGCTCAGGATGACTCAAGTACATCTCGGATTGCCTATCCCGACGTGTGCTGCGAACTCTTGTCTTAGTCACTTTGTTGTAGCATTGCATTCAATCCCTCCAACTACACGGACACAAACTAAGTTGGAGGAGAACATGAGAGCACGCGGGGACGTGAGTGCGCAAAGCTTTCAATAGAATCGGGAGTGCCTAGGGGGAAAAGCTAGGTTCTTTTTGTTTCTATTCACCGCTTCGAACGCGTTCAAGCTGTGCGTGGAGAGGAAGGCAGTTGGGCTTTGAGTTAACCCACTTACTCCACTCAGAAATCCGCGTTCAAAGGTTCCCACGCGCTCTCATTTCCTCCTCTCTTTCAGTTTCTATGCGCCGATAAACTGAGGGAGAAGGGAAGAGGGGACATCAGAACGCCGAGCTCCGGTTGAGATGATCAGTGGGTAGACATAAAGCCAGCTGCCCTTGCCTCCACTGCACTCGTCGAACGCGTTAAGACGCAGAACGCCGGCATCCGGAGTTTGGCTTTCGCAATCGAACACGTTCGACGAGTGCAGGAAAGACAAAGGTAGACAGATAGCTTTAGGTCTACCCACTAATCATTCCAACCAGAGCCCGGTATTCTAACCTCCCCGAGCACTGTGGTCTCATCCTCTCCATTCGTTTCTCGCTGTTTACAAATAAAACAGCCCAATGTGCTATATACATATCCCAGGACGCGCGAGCTCGTCGCTTGAGAAGGCGATCAAATCACGCGACACACGCGCAAACACACAAAAGGACACCGGCCCAGAGCCCTTTCCTAAAATTGCCTACTCGCTCGTTCTCGCGTTCTTTTAACCCATGGTTTCGCCCGGGTGCAAATAGCCCCAAATCATTTCCGGTTCTCAACTGGACAGCGGTTTTCGTGGTATTCGCGTAGTAAAAAAAAAAATATGCGCGCAATCTTCTGGAAATTATCATATATAGCACTGTCATACTTAATTCGCTCCTATACGGTAAAATAATGACGGGTAAATAATTAGAAACTATACGTGAACCGGAAGTGTGCCGGGGCTACCCAATAGATGGCGCATTGAGTTATTTGCCAAAAGGGACGCTTAGACTATAAACCACTCGTTAAATTATAAACGCACCACAAGAAAGGGCAGGAAATTACGAACATGCGCTACAATCCTTGCCTTCCATATAAAAACTACTGGGAGTAAATAACCCAGGAAAGAATTTAGCAAAGGCGCTTGCGGAGTGCCATTTGTTTTAAATTTTTCGAGCGGACATTTATTGTTGCAAACGCCAGCACGTGCATTACGTGTACCAGCATACACGGCATTCGCTTTGATGACTGTCTACGGTGCGCGTGCACGTCCATTTGCAAAGCCATTGCCCCTCTATAGTCACAAAGCCTGGCAGTTTGACGACAAGGCCATGGAGCGCTCGCTCGCAGATTTGTAGCGCAAGGATGTGGTAGCACAGAGCATTTCTCGTGGGAGCTGATAGTGAGCGCCCAGCTTTTGCAGAGGCGAGGACGCGTGAGGGACACGAGGAGCACGAGCGGACATTCTATCGCTCGAGAGAGGTGTGTTTCGGTGCCTCGCCGCAGCGGTGTGCCCGTTACGTGACTCTCCACTCATTCGTTGTTTGCCTTTCTACCTTTTCATTCTCGGCGGCCGCGTCTCAAGACGATTTGCCAGTCTTTGTCAATATAGAGGAGGCTATGGGCAAGCTTAAAGTAGTACGTTATTCTTCGCACGAGCATATACATGGCGGCAACCAGTTGACCTTGCAATCGTTTCTACTCTGTTTCACATTTGAGGGTCAATGACAACCCCGACTGCCATACTTTATTTTAATTTTTATGATTGGGAACGGCTTCAGGAGTGCGCGATAGAGCAAAAACACAAGATTCATTGCAAAAAAAAAAAACACTTTTCTAGCGCACGAATACAGGGCTATCGTCGTTTCTCTTTGCAATGACATAGTTGGTGAAGGCATTCTTTAGAAATATATAGGCGTCTCAAGTCACTTGTCTAACAATTGTAGTGACACTCAAGAAGTTATGTTTTCAGTTTTTTTTTTATATTCTACGACGATTGAAATCACATTAGGCGACTAATTTCAAAATATAAGCACACAATGCTCCGAAGTGCAGTGACGAGACATCGGCCGTCTCGTGACTTTCTTTCTTCTTACTTTCAAGATGACGGCGTTCAGGGACTTTGCTGGTAACATTGAAAGAAATGAGGACGATGGGAATATCTGAAAAAGCCCGTACCGGTTGTTTTCTTCTATGCCGGAAATCAAAACGCACTTGAGGAGAGTGAGTGATAAGAATGCTCGGGATTATCCTGCGCGTCGTTCACCAAATTCTGCGACGCATTATTTTGCTGTTTACTTATCTGAAGGGCGTTGAAGACCCACTTGGCCGAACGCTCCTAAAGAGAAAGCTAATCAAGTTGTTCG